GTAGTTGTTATGTTGAGATGTCGGGTTAGGAAGCCTTGGCTCCTAACTAAGGATTTGTGAATAGAGAAAATGATTAATGTTACGTAAATGGTGAGTTGTGCCTATTATAAACAGTTTGGGGGTTTTGGGGAATAATAATAAATGAGTGTTTGGGTGTGTTGAAAATGTGGAGACTTTGGAGTTATGTTTCAAAATAAATGGATATTTTGTAACTCTTTTATAAACTAGAGAACGGGAATTTAGTTGTACTTAATTAATGTTTTGGATTATAAGATTGGTTTCTAGAGTTTTGTCCTTGGCCATCGGTGGAGGATGGTATTGCTTGTTGTTAGATATAGGTTATAAGCACTACTGTAGTGTGAGCAATGTAATGTAGGATGGTATGTTGTTGATTATTAATGGACATTATGAATAGATAATTTCATTGTTGAGTTAGGGATTATGTTGTTAAAGAGGTAATTGGAACGTGTATAAATGTTGTTACGTTATGAGATAGTCATTGGATAGTATGATTTTGGTGTTTAGTAATTCATATTGTGTTTTGGAAACATTTTTAAAATGTAAGAAAACCCATTGTTGAACGGCGGTGCGCGGAGCACATTTTGAAGGAAGTCGGTTAGTGTATTGTTAATAGTCAGGATTGTGATAATTGGATTAGGTATATGTATTACACTTGTGTATTATTGATGTTGGTTAGCTTGTTATGCTTTCATTGTGATGTTGTTTGGGGGTCCGTTTCCTGCCGTATTGAGCCTGCAAAGCGTGGCACCTTGACAAAGGTTTCTACGTTCCCTTCCGGTTTGCGCCCGATAAAGTATGACCTGAGGGGCATCCCCTTCCAGGTAAGGCCAGTAAAGTGTTATGTGTTATCTGTGTTGTGGAGTCTGTCACAACCTAAACCCGCCCCTATAGGTTTAGCGTCATGACCGGCCAATAATTATAGATCACCTACGGCCTCTATAAACAAAAACCTTTTTAAGATAATTATGGGACTTAGCGGAAGTATAATACAATATAAAAGTTATCCATTGAGCCGTGCATATATAGAAAGAACTTCGTATCATAAGAAAACATTCGTACGTTATGTACATCCATCACATAAGTTCAAATAGCCAAATCTTATAGCTATACATAACCCTAAAGTACACACAAACACAAAATGATTGTACAATATGAAAAGGGGTTTAATTAACTTGGCTCCACACGAGCCTAGTTTACTTCATTCAGAAGCTCCTCAAAAAGGCTGACCTAGGTAGACTCGAGGCATTCTTTAACTTTGATGTTCAACTTGCCCACCTACATATATATAAATAATTAGTGAGCTAGAGCCCAGTAAGTAATAATAGAATAAAGAAGTTATGTGAATGAAGTTCAATAACATTGCCAAACCAGTTCTCATTTCAGTTCTTAGTAATCAATTCTCAATGATCAATAAATTTCACCGTCAGTATCCTTCAATATCAAATTAAATGGCACATCCATGAAGCGATAATATTCCAATAACAATGGACCATAAAGGTCAAGCAAATGGACCACGAAGGGTCAAACCAATAGACCACAAAGGGTCAAACACTAGAGATCTCTGTGTTTCAATCAATCCAATAGCCATGGTATTATTACACCCAAGCAAGGGCCTCTAATCAATGGCCACGGTATTGTTACCCCCAGGCAAGGTTCTATAATCAATGGATCCCACAATACAGTTTCAAAAGTGAATTTCATTCATCAATAGAAAATAACATTTTAATAAACCATTCAATTGATCACGTATTGATTTCAAGAGCAATAACAATTTTAAAAATAAATATTACTTGAACATATATTTATAAAGTTACCACTCACAGTGGTTTGTGTTGTCACTAAGCCTCAGACGTCCACCTAAACAAAACACATAACAAAAGCACAATTGAAGCACCATTCGATAACCATTTCATTTTAATTCTATTCTTCTTATGTGTTTCTAACTAATTCTATAATTATATGAGTCCAATTGGTGCTTAAGAGTACTAGAAATGGCATGAGGATGCAAGTATGCACTTAAAAGAGTTAGTCAAAATATGCTGAAAACAGGGTCCTCACTCGAACGCAACTTCGGTCGTTCAAGCGATCTGCAAAACTTTACGAAAGTACTGGTTGCTTAAATTTTATGCTCCACGGTCGCTCGATGGTTGCTCGAGCCAAAGACTGAATAAAAGTGCGTTCGCTCGAGCGCACACTTTGTTGCTTGAGCCACTATGCAATTGTCTACAAAAATGCTGGGAGCATGAATTTTACGCTCAAGCGACACTTCCATCGCTCAAGCAAACTGGTCGAATTCTGAAATTTCCAGAATTGTGTTTGAAGCCCAAAACATGATTCCAAAGGCTTAAAGTTTGTGAGTTTGGTTCAAAAACATAGAAAAACATTTTAGAACTTGAAAATATAGGCAATTGAAATCATTTATTCAAGATCATGCCCCAATTGACCAAATTCAAGCTCACACCAACAAGTTAAAACCATGCATGGTATGGATTGAGTTCTCTTCGTTTCAAAACACTACAAAGTGATATGAAATGCTTGAAACCATGAATAATCTTCAAGTTCATGCCTCCTAAGCATCATGCATATATGAATTTTATGGAATTCAAACTCATAGATGAAGGACCATGCATGCATGCATGTAATTCATTTCAAATTCATCATATTCATGGTAATTCATGCTTAACCAACCCAAATTCAAGCAAATGATCCTATAACTCCATGAGCTTAGTTTCTACATGACTTAATTCCAAGAATTTGGGTTGAATTTCATACCTAATGTGTGAATTCAAGTGTATTCAAATGTAATTCTCCAAGTCCTCCACAATTTCTTCAAATTCTCCTTCCTCTCTCTAGAATTGTTGAGCTCACCTTCATTCACTCTCAAAATCTCAGCCCATATGTGTATATTATGAGCTCAAGACTTAATTAGGGCCTTATATAGGGTGTGATTAACAAAGGCTAATTAAACTTGCTTATGGATAATCAATCCTACTCAATTTTAATTGATCTTAATTATTTTATTCTAATTATTTTGGTCCGAATCAAATTTTGACGAAAGTTGCCATAAATTCTAAATATTCTAATTATTCTATTGGACTAGTCAATTTCGACTTCTAAAGCCGTTTTTTCAATTTCTGATCCTAAGTTGATAAGTGAACAGCTATTCCATGTAACAACAGATAACTACAAAATTGAGCATGTAATCACACAATCAAACACACAATCATACAATTAAGCTTATGGAAACAATATAATGTAATAGTTCGGAGGTTGGGGTCATCACAGTCTCTCCCCCTTAGAAAGTTTGGTCCTCCAAACTTAAGTTACCTTCAAACGAAAACAAATGTGGATATCGCTGCCGCATCTCATCCTCTTATTCCCAAGTGGCTTCTTTCCCATAATGTTCTTTCCACTAAACTTTCACCATAGGAATAGTTTTGTTTCTTAATTGTTTCACTTGTCGGTCGATGATTTGCACGGGCCATTCTTCATAAATCATATTCTTATCTAAAGCAATCTAATGGTGATCAATTACATGGAATGGATCTCTAAGATATCCACGAAGCATAGACAAATGGAAAACATTATGCATTTGTTCCATTCCAGGTGGCAAAGCAATACAGTAAGCAATAGGACCCAACGTCTCAAGAATCTGAAACGGCCCAATGTAACGAGGAGTCAATTTTCCCTTTTTGCCAAACCTCGTCCGCCCTTTCATCGGTGTTACTTTGATAAATACATGATCCCCCACTTCATACTCTAAATCTCTTCTTCGTTGATCAGCATAACTTTTCTGTTGGCTCTGTGCAGTTTGAGCCTTTGCTAAATAATCTTAATTTTCTCCGTCGTTTCTTGCACAAGTTCGGTCCCATAGATAGCTCTATCACCGACCTCTATCAAACAAATCGACGATCTACACTTTCTACCATATAGTGCCTTGCATGGTGCCATGTGGATACTAGCGTGAAAACTATTATTATAAGCAAACTCAGCCAATGGTAAATATGTTTCCCATTTGCCCTAAAAGTCCAAAACACACATATAAAGCATGTCTTCCAAGGTCTGAATAGTCCTTTCGGTTTGCCCATCAGTTTGTGGATGCAATACTGTACTAAATCTCAATTTTGTTCCCATTGCATCCTGTAGACTATGCCAAAATCTAGAAACAAATTTAGGATCTCTATCTGATACAATAGACAATGGAACCCTATGCAATCAAATAATTTCATCAACGTAAATAATAACAAGTCTATATGTAGTAAAAGAAGTCTTTACAGCAAGAAAATGAGCAAACTTAGTCAGTCTATCAATTATAGCCCAAATAGAGTCCATACCTCTAGGTGTTCGAGGTAGGCCAACAACAAAGTCCATGGTTATGTGCTCTCACTCCCATTCTGGAATAGGGAGGGACTGAAGCAAGCCTGCTGGTTTCTGATGTTCCGCCTTCACCCGTTGACATTGTAAGTATTTAGAATTGAAGTCGGCAATCTCTCTTTTCATGTTGGGCCACCAATAAACTAACTTCAAATCTTTGTACATTTTGGTATTTCCCAGATGCATAGCAAACACTGACTTGTGAGCTTTCTCCAAAATTTTCCTTTTCAAATTTGCATCATTAGGAATACATAATCTCCCTTGAAATTTCAACATGGAATCTTCCATCGTGAACCACGGTTAAGGCTTGGTGTCAAATACATCACAAATCTTCTTCAAAACTTCATCATTCATTTGCTTTTGTTTGATTGTTCAATAATGGCAGGCTATGCAGACATTGCAGCTATCAAGCTATCTTTTTCAAAAGGCGCCACTTCAATTTCGAGTTTTTCAAACTCTAGTAGCAACTCTCTCTGATCTGTGAATAAACAGGCAAGATTTCCCACATTCTTTCTACTAAGTGCATTTGCCACAGTATTGACTTTGCCCGGATAGTAATAGATTTGAAAATCATAATCTTTGATCAGTTCCAACCAGCGTCTTTGTCACATACTCAATTCCTTTTGGATGAAAAAGTACTTCAAGCTCTTATGATTTATGTACACTTCACACTTGGCCTCATACAAGTAGTGATGCCATATCTTTAATGCGAACACAACTGTAGCTAGTTCTAGATCGTGGGTAGGGTAATTCTTCTCGTGTGGTCTCAATTGTCGAGAGGCATATGCAATCACCTTGCCATTCTGCATTAAGACACAACCCAAGCCCATATAAGATGCATCACTAAAAATTACAAAACCTTCGGTACCTGAGGGAATAGTAAGGATTGGAGCTATGGTCAATCTTGTCTTCAACTCTTGAAAGACCGATTCTCTCTGATCCATCCATTCAAATGGTTCCCTTTTTCGAGTCAATTGAGTTAATGGTACAACAATTTTCGAGAAGTCTCTAACAAATCTCTGATAATAACCTACCAATCCCATAAAATTGTGAACTTCTGGTACATTAGTTGGGGTAGGCCAATTAATAATTGCTTTTATTTTATGAGGATCAACAAATATACCATCCTTATTAATGATGTGTCCCAAAAATACAATTTCATCAAGCCAAAATTCATACTTTTTGAATTTCTCATACAACTGTTTTTCTCTAAGTGTTTGGAGAGTCATTCTCAGATATTGTTCATGATCATCTCTAGTTTTCAAATATATGACAATGTCATCAATAAACACGACAATAAATTCATCCAAGAAGGGTTTAAAAATTCTATTCATTAAATCCATGAATGCTGCAGGTGCATTTGTAACTCTAAAAGGCATGACTAAAAACTCGTAATGTCCATACCTGGTTCGGAAGGCAGCCTTTTCAATGTCTTCATCCTTAACCTTCAACTGATGATACCTCAATCTCAAGTCAATTTTTGAAAATATTTGAGCCCCCTGCAACTGATCAAACAGGTCATCAATACGTGGCAAAGGATATTTATTTTTCACTGTTAGTATTAGAAATGACATGAGGATGCAAGTATGCACTTAAAAAAGTTAGTCAAAATTTGCTAAAAACAAGGTCCTCGCTTGAGCGCAACTTCCTTCGCTCGAGCAAGGGTTCAAAAATAAGGATGGTCGCTCCAGCGCAACTTCGGTCACTCAAGCGGTCTGCAAAACTTTGCAAAAGTACTGGTTGCTTAAATTTTATGCTCGACGGTCACTCGATGGTCGCTCGAGCTAAAGACTGAATAAAAGTGGGTTCGCTCAAGCTCACACTTTGTTGCTCGAGCCACTATGCAATTGTCTGCAAAGATGGTGAGAGAATGAATTTTACGCTCGAGCGACACTTCTATCGCTCTAGCGAATTGGTCAAATTCTAGAATTTCCAGAATTGTGTTTGAAGCCCAAAACATGATTCCAAAGGCTAAAAGCTTGTGAGTTTGGTTCAAAAACATGGAAAAACATTTTAGAACTTGAAAATATAGGCAATTGAAATCATTTATTCAAGATCATGCCCCAATTGACCAAGTTCAAGCTCACCCCAACAAGTTAAAATCATGCATGTTATGAATTGAGTTCTCTTCTTTTCAAAACACTACAAAGTGATATGAAATGCTTGAAACCATGAATAATCTTCAAGTTCATCCCTCTTAAGCATCATGCATGTATGAATTTTATGGAATTCAAACTCATAGATGAATGACCATGCATGCATGTATGTAATTCATTTCAAATCCATCATATTCATGGTAATTCATGCTTAACCTACTCAAATTCAAGCAAATGATCCTATAACTCCATGAACTTAGTTTCTACATGACTTAATTCCAAGAATTTGGGCTGAATTTCGTACCTAATGTGTGAATTCAAGTGTATTCAAATGTAATCCTCCAAGTCCTCCGTAATTTCTTCAAATTCTCCTTCCTCTCTCTAGAATTGTTAAGCTCACCTTCATTCACTCTCAAAATCTCAGCCCATATGTGTATATTATCAGCTCAAGACTTAATTAGGGCCTTATATATGGTGTGATTAACTTAGGCTAATTAAGCTTGCTTATAGATAATCAATCCTACTCAATTTTAATTGATTTTAATTATTTTATTCTAATTATTTTGGTTCGAATCAAATTTTGACGAAAGTTGCCATAAAATTCTAAATATTCTAATTAGTCTATTGGACTAGTTAATTTCAGCTTCTAAAGCCGTTTGGGCTTTCAATTTTTGATCCTAAGTCGATAAGTATATTCCATGTAACAACAGATAACTACAAAATTGAGCATGTAATCACACAATTAAACACACAACCATGCAATTAAGCTTATGGAAACAATATAATATAATAGTTCAGAGGTTGGGGTTGTCACAGAATCTGTCATCCGTGTTGTATGCTGGTGGAGATGAAATTGGTCATATGTATCATTCTCGATTATTTATTTTTAGATATGTGCGTTATTGGTCTCTCGTGTTGTGGTTGTCATTTAGTCCTTGAGCCTATGGCTAGGTAAGATAGTTGATGTATTGGTGTCTAGATGAGTATGGTGTAATGATATGTGGAGTTGGGTTATGACTTATATATGGGGTTGTGTTTTCTGAACAGATGTTTAAATGAAATTCTTTTATGTTAACATGGAGAGTTTTATCAAAAGAAGAATGGGGTTTTGAAATGTGTGTTGGAAGATAAACGAGAATTTCTAAGAGAAGCAATGGTTTTTATACTGGATTGAGTAAAGAGGAACTTTTTGAGGAAAACATATTTATATGGGTATACTTTTGGATATTAACTGTTATACTACTTATATGGTATATCATTGTGCATGCATGATCATTTTTATCTATATGTTGTGATTGGTTAGGATCTTCAGGATCTCTACTGGGCTTAGTGCTCATTCCATGTATTGACAAATTTTTTTTAGGTACGAGGTTGGACGATTGTTCAGGACTGATGGCTTTTACTTTGCTAGCCATAGGGCCTTTTATTTGTCGGCCGAGAGGCATGTATTGTATAAGGGTAAATCCTTTTCGTTTTTATTTATTGTTGTTCAATGTAAGCCTAAGGGCATTATACCATGTCTTAATTATATATCTTCATCATTACGGTGAGAGAATGTTACTATTTATTTTGTACATGTTTTTGAATGGATGTAATCTTTTAAAATGGTAGTAATGTAAGGATTTGGTAATGAATTCAGGTAATAAAAGGCGGGGCAATACAACTTGGTATCAGAGCGAGCTGGGTCGAATACTTTGGGCTCCTGGGAAGTGGTTTATAGCACATTAGGTTTGCTATGCTTGGTGAGGACATTGCATATAGATGACTTATGTGTTAAGACCATATGTGTTGCATTTATGTAAGCATGGGGTCAAGTTTCCTGGATAATGCTTGTCACCAATGAACTTACCTTGAGATTCTATGGGAAACATGCCTGATTAACATGATTTCTAATAGAAATTCCTTGAGAGTTCCGGAGTGAGTAGTTATCTTGTGAACTTGATTCAATTATGTGATGAAATGTTCACTTGTCTATATGAAATAGAATTATGTGTTTCGGGACTTAGTGTGTCTTATAACTTAGCAAGGGTAAGTGTGTGTCTCAGGAAGGACCGTTGTGTTTCTTACTAAGTTTGTTTTGGTTTTGGTTTTATAGGATGTTTTCTCGAGGGAGTAGAGATCGTGTGGGGAGTAGAAGTGTCGGTAGAGGCACAGTTGTTCCGTTAGCACATACCCTTGTAGCGTCGGCTGTGGGCGAGAAAGTTGCACGCGAGATTGTGAGAGCAGTGAGAGATGCTCTAGCTCATAATGTGGGAGACCATGGGCATAACCTTAGGTTGACCAAGGAATTTCTTCGCTTCAATCAACCTGTGTTTTGGAGAGAGCCTAAGTCATTGAAGGTTGAAGATTGGTTAGAGTAGATTACCAAGACTCTTGATATGCTCAGAGTCGAAGATGAGAAGTTAAGTGTTGTGTTGGCTGGTTTCCAACTGAAGGGAAACACTGGTTATTAGTGAAAGTGTGCGCAAGTTTCTGTGGACACTACTTGGGCTTCTTTCACTGAGACCTTTTTGGCTAAGTATTTTCCTCCTTTCGCTCGGAAAAGGTTGAGGAACCAGTTTGTTGAGTTGCGTCGGAGGATACTTCTTTGGCACAATTTGAGGCAAGGTTCTCTAGTTTGTCGAGATTTGCTCCAGAGTTGGTCGCAACAGAGGAGCAACGTTATTTTGAGTCTGAGCGAAGATTGTGTGACTTTATTCAGGAAAAGGTTACTGGGGCAATGTATAGAGATTATCAAGCCTTGGTAGAGGCAGCGGCTCATGTAGAAGCCATTATTGGTAGTGTTGGTTAGGATGAGGAGGAAGAGGCCATACCAGCAAGTTCAACTGTTCAGAGAGGTAGTAGACCTAATAAGAATTTGAGATAGGCGAGATCTCAGACACAAGCGTAGTTGGCGCCTCAAGCTACTTTTGTTTCTTCAGACTCGTCCTTTGAAGGGTCTAGTCAGACTCAGGCATCCTCGAGTCAGTCTCAAAATAGGAGGCCACCTATGGGTTCTAGGTGTGGTTGGATGGGCCATGTTCGACGTCGTTGCCCTCTGCGGGAGTGGAGCCAGTTTTAGTAGTCCAAGTAGAGATCGTAGTAAAGTTGGAAATATGGAGGAGTTGTGGTGTTTTGTAATGTAATATGGCATTATCTTATTTAAGGCTGTATGCCTATAGATGTTGTTTACGCATGTATGTATGTGGTCGTAGACCCAAATGGTATAAAGATGTAATTAACTTTGTATTTACTTGTAATGTGTTGAAAGATGTTATAAGGATTAGAAATTCTAGTTTTATTATGCCATATTGATGTCTTGGGAAGTGTATGTTGGCGTGTGTTGGCTTGTGATGTCTTAGGTTGGTTTCGTATTGCTCGTTGAGCGACATGGGTGTGTTTTGCATTGTGCTTAGTCTTGGGGTGGCAAGAATGAAATGGTGTAGCAGTAATGTTTTGTTTTAAACTGTTGGGTTATGAGATTGGAGAATTAGTGGGTTGGTTGTATGGTATTTGAAGTTGGTTGACACATAGTCACCTCAGAAATTGTTTTCGGTTTGAACAAAGGGTTGTAAGGTTGAAAGGTATTTCTGGTTATATTTGGGGGCATTGAGCCTCGCTTATGAGTGTATAGAACCTCTTGAGTTGGGGTAATGTGTTAGTGTGTTAATTTTGTGAACGCTTATGCACCATTGAATTATGCAGATTAATATTACTGGTGTTGTATTGGTTTGGAACTTCCGAGATTTGGAAAGCTATTTGTGTTGCATTATCTCTCTTAGAACTGTATTTATTTCTATTCATCGTTATTATAGAAATGTGGTAATTGTGTTGTGATATCATTGAGTGTATGATAGAGGTTGTTGGGTGATGGTTGAGATTCACCAGATATTGTTAAGAAATAAATTGGAAAGTGAGTTTGGTTTTATGGCCTCTTATGACATCTCGTTTCAACTGAAAACTTTGGGTTTGAAATTTCACGGGTTGTTTAGAGAAAATGTTTGCAAAACATTCGATTTTCTTGGAATTTTGGAACAAAATTTTGTTTGGAAATGGTGTGAGTTTGAATAACTTTTAGGGAAAACAGTGTAAGTGATAAAAAAAGTTTTCAAATGAATTCGTTTCAACTGAAAACTTTGGGTTTGAAATTTCAC